TCAATCCTATTTGCAACTTGCAACTGTCTCCACGATCTGTGTCAGAGGCCTTTGTATCAGGCAATACCTGGAGTGTCTCCATTCAGCCCAATTTTAAAAACCAGTAACTGAAACAAATCAGCATTTGTGCACCAACTGGAAAGAAACCACGCAGACTTACAGCGACTGAAAATCTGCCCTCAGTGTCTATACAACTCCCTCCCTTGTCCTTCTCTAAAAAAAGAAGGGTCAAAGCAAAATGCTGGCAGCCCAATGAAATCTTTGAAGAGACTGTATGGTTTCAGTTATGAGAGGATGGAAAAATGAGAACCCTGGGGATCTTTTGGGAACATTAAGCTTTATTAATCAGGAATGTATTAGCCACATACCAACATTCCCAAACGGTACGCTGAATCACAGAAACACCAGGGAGCAACAGAACCGATCCAGGCTGGTCTTCTGCCTTATGGCAAGTTCTAGCATGCCCTGAGAGATGGTTTTCCAAGACATTCCTTACAGAAGAAACCTCCTGTGCTTCCACAGTACCTACAAGGTTGTGAGTCCCAGTGCTTTACAACCAATACAGTCAGAACATGGTTCTTAATATGTAACTTGGTAATTTTCACTGCTCGTTGAACTGATTTCTTTAGGTCTTGCTCCCAGTGGATATGAAGAACAATTAATCACTGTGCTCCTGATTAAAACTTTTCACTCACTAGAATATTTTTTTTTCATATTCTCCTTAACATACAACAAAAGCAACACTTTCAGAAGCATATAATGCCACATAGGGCTCCTCTTGCCCATGGGCCAGTTAACAATCAACCAGTTTCTGCTTCCTCAACAATTTTAACACTAGGACAATTTCTGTCTTGACAAACATTTTTGACCTCTCCACATTTCCACTGGGGTTCCAAAGGCAGAAATCAGGGCAGAATTTATCCCCATGAGTTTCTGGATTAATGCCTTGGTATAGGAAGGGGAAAAGGCAAAATTAATTCTCTTTCTTAGTGCTAACACAATTCCTCAGTGACAGTCAGCCCCAAGACATTGATCTTTGTTCAAAGGAAGCACACTTCCATACTCATTTCATAATGTGCACGTCTTCTCCAGCATCTCCAGCATAGCTTCCACAAGCCAGTATCTTCGGCATCAAAAACACCCCCAAAAACGGCTTAATGAAATATTGAGGGTTTACATTTTGTCAGAGGAATAGGAACTGGGAATTTGCAGGGCTCAACAAAGCCCATCTTAGACAAAAAATTCTATTTAAAACAGCAAGTTACCAGAGGGAAGGACAGATCCCATATCCATCAGGAACCGCGAGGATTCTTGTGCTGTAAAGAACACAGTAGGGTAGCTTGTTTGTTGCTTCAAAACTCTTCCTTCATTTAAAAGCACCACTGTGATGGACGAAGCCCTTCTCAGCCCTGACATCCTGACGCTACATATGCAGCCTGCACTCTGGGATGCCAGCTTACTGTGTCACATTGGCTTGGGTTCTGCCTGTCCCCTTCCTTATGCCTGCAAGCTCAATTGAACTTATGAAAATTCAAACTGTCTTCTGTCTGTTTCATACATCATCAGCAAACAATCACTAGACAAAATGAATTTGCTCTCTGTAATTTGGAGGCTACACAAATGTCTCTGCTGTATAATACAAAAAAGGGGAATAAAGTTTGGTATGCAAGGTTAATTCAGCATGGAGGAAAGTAGCAGAGAAACAGACGGAGAGAGAACACGAACAATAAAATACTCAACAGTGGGGAGAGTGACATGAGAAATACTTCTGTAAATTGGAGTTGGCCTTGATACCTTTGAATGATGGAATTAAACAAAGGCACAAGTGAGTTGTGAAAGATCACCCCCATGAGTGGCTGTATCTCCATCCCTCGTGATTTGTCTACACAATATACTTATTAATAATAACAATGGTTACTATTTCTCCTCTAAGAGCTTTGCAAACACATACTCAATAATGTTCACAGAGCTGTATCAGTTTGAACCAGATTGAAAAAGTGATCTGCTGAACAAGGCACAGCGAGGTTAAACAACTTGTCCAATGCCACTCAATGAGCCAGCATCTGTCAAGATTAGAGCACCAGATCTCTTGGTCAGTAATCATCAGATCACAAGGCTGCATAAGGCTGAAACCTTGAAAAATCTCTCTTTTTAACAAAAATAATGTGTTGTATACTCCTTATTTGCCTTAGTAAATGGCAATGTGTCTAAAACCACTGCTTTGAAAGTGCACCTGGTATGCCTCCTGTATAAATGTTCAGGTTGTGTGTACAGAATGTTTTTCTTTCACACACAATATGCTGTCACTGTCTCCTAAAATCAAGTAGACGCTGAATGTGAGCAGAGGTAGCTCCTCATAGTAGACTTAATCCCATTTGGGGTTAGTTGCAAATAGCAAAGTATTTAACCACATCCTTAAAGTTAAGTATCTGAGTAGTCCCATGGACCTCAATGGATCTACTTGCCAATCAATCCACATAACTTTAGTACATAGCAACACATGGCCAGAGCACCCAGCATAGCAAGAATCCAGCCCGCAGACTTTTTCCATTAAGAGAACGCCTGCACTACATTTAGAAGGCTGTGTTTTTATGCAACTGCCTGCCAGATGTTCACGTGTTGTGAACCTGTATTTTCTTCTAATGCCATGTATCAAGTCGAGCATATTTTCCTATCAGTCAGAAATCTGGCCCATCTTATATTAATCAGTTGCTTTAGGGACATCCCTACCCTAAAGCAAGTTTTCCACCCTTCGATTAAAGAAATCCGATTCAAAAAAAAACCCAGAAAACTACCAGAGCACGGCTTGCCTTTTCTTCTTTCTGTTTTTGGGTTAGTACAGGAAAGCCATACTGGGAAGTTCACTTTATTAAAGATCTTACAATTAGAGACACCTGATTCCAGTGGACATACATAGGAAACAAAGGAAATCCTTAAAGCGTACTTCCTTCTTTAAAGAAGGTGCCCCCATTTTTATTGGGCCAAGTTACTAGTTACACGGACACAAGGTATAGCAAGAATCGCATCCTCATTTTACAGCATACACATGCATACGTAAAAGTTCCCCCATCTTGTGCTTCTGTATTCCAGAGACAGGCTGTATACCAAGGCTACAGAACTTCGGACCAGATAGAAGTTTACAGGTGGGGTATTTCTTTCGGAAAAAGCAAATGACAAGAAATTCAAAGATTAGAAACTTGGACCTTTATTTCATGAAACAGAAAGAACTGGGGAGAAAAGAACAGACCTGGGAGTTGTAGCCCCACACTCCATTCCCAGTTTGACCACTGATTTACTCTGGCCTTGAGCAAGCTGCTCAACATCTCTGCCTTACACTTGTGTATTTATTTCCCCTCCAAAGCCATTTAACTAAAAAAGCCCATTCCAGCCAGCACCAATCATCAGGCCCTTATATTGCTACCTGGTATTTTGCCTTAGGGCTGCCCATGCAGGACTTACTGACCATCTGGATCCTAAGGATTCAAAGAATTTGCCTTAATTCGCTTCTCACTCTGCTGGTGCATTTTGGAAAGAGAATCACCTCTACTTTCCAACAAAAATTCTCCTAGTTGTTCACACAAAATTGCAAGACAACTTTGAAATTCTGTACTCACAGATTCAGATGCGTTCCCCCACTTTTCCCCCAACACCTCCCTTTAAATTGCTGCTGGACCCAGGAAATCCATGAGTGTTTTCAACTCGGCTCACCACTGTAATTGCAAGGTTAACCTCTGGTGGCCTGGGAGGCTGCTCATATTCAGGAATGATGAGCAGAAAACGTTAAATACCATTCACTGGCCACAGCCTGCAGTTAATACACAATATTTAAACAACACAATGGCATGGCCCTTGCCAGTAATGTAAAAACACAATGGAGTAGAGCCAGAATGGCACAATCTGCCTGCCTGAGTCATGCTTGGCGCTCCACGCTGGAAGGGGCATGCGTTAGCTGCCCACAGTGTACTGTACCCTTCAGCTAGTTTAAAAAAAAAAAAAAAATCATTAAAATACAATTTAAAAAAAAAGAAGGGGGGCAGGGAAGGAAAAATCCCATGTAATAGTTAAAATATTTTAACACTGAAGTACAGAAGTACCACTTTGGAAGAAGGCTCTGGATTTCATTACAGACTGCACATTTTGATCTCAAACAAGAAAACAAACCAACTTTGCTTTGTAATATTCCACAGCTTTGTACTGTCCAACTAAAATCCGTTTTTTTTACTACTATCTACAAGCTCCTGGATTTTTATTCATGTATTATTTCATTAAATTCAGAGTATCTGAATCTACTATATTTTCCAATCCTCTTTTGCATGCCTGTTGTTCAGCCATTGAAGTTCCAAATCTTAATTATTGTCCCAAATACATTTAATAAACAGATTCTAAATAAGGCTAGGTCAGCCTGATGTACAGCCTGACTTGCATTTATGGAATAACTATGCTCTCAGAAAGAAAATCCTTTCTTGCAAGAGACACAAGAAGTTATTTTGACTGTTTTGTTGTGTCACAGCACAGATGAATAAGGCATTTCTGCCCCCGTCTACACCCTAAAGCAGCTGAAGCCCCCTGTGATGTCATCAGAAAGTTTTTCGGGTTTTTTCTTGCATAAAGGAGAAAAATTCATTACGACATCATGAAAAGAGAATAAACTATATTTTATGCTATAAGGAATCTTCTGCTACTTTCTGTTATCCCTGCACCAAAGTGCAGAAATCCTCACTGACAAAGCGACAGGAACTGTAAGTCAACAGAGAGAGAAATGCACACTATTCCTAATAATATTCAAAACAAAGCAGAAAAGAATGATCTATTCAGGGGTCTGAAATTAAAGATCTGCAAGATGTAAGTTCAGTTTTAATTTTTAAATAAAACATCCTTTGAACTTCTAAATCCCATTTAAGGGGACTCTGACCTTTATCCAAGACCAGCTACTGTGCTAACGCGTTGGATGCATATAGAGGAAAAATACGGACAAAAGGTACCGGAAAAGCTTTTACTTACAGGAATGCAGTGCAGCTTAATCTTTTTGTTTTTAAGGTGCAGTGATTTCAGCATCTACAATGTAACTTCAGGCAGTCTGAAAAGAAACAGGTTAAAATCTCTTTCAGTTATAATTGGTATTTCAGATTTAATTAAAAATTAAACTTTCATAATGTTTCACCATCCAAAGCAATGCATTATCAGTCAAGCGTAGCCTTTTTTTTTTTTTTTTGTTAAAAGAAGCTCTTCCCAGAGTAGTTTGCAATGAAAGAAGAAGGGGAAAAAGGCAATTGAGAGTAGCAAAATATATTTCTTCAGCAAAAGATCTCTGAATAACTTGGAAAGAAGCCTTCTGCCACTTAATTTTAACAATCAACCTTATACTAATTAAAAAAAAATAAGCATCACAATTAAAGAAGACAGAAAACCAGCATCTCATACCAATGACTGTGAGGGGAAAAATGTTAATTTCAGCAAAACAAGGACATTGCTAGGACCAGAACATACGCACCGAAAGGGAAAATATGGTTTTACATAATGCCAGCCAACAACATTTTTTTAAAATTCGTTCTACAGCATGTAGCACTTTCAGGCTGTTGCATGGAAGAGAAGAGAGACAGACAAGTTCAAAAAGAGGAAAGCTGTTTTTAAAGCGTACAAGGCAAAAGGTCCCTTGCACCCTTTTGTTACGGGATACGAAATAGCTACTCCGAAAACTGCAAGGTTTCTTGTTGTGTAAAAAAAACGTCGTTTTACTGTGCAAAACAGACGATTAAGAAGTGGTAGACATAGGATTTGAACAGATGCAAAAAAATTTTTTTTTTTTTTTCCAAAATGCAGTTGGAATGACAATAAAACTCCAGGGGTTGCACCATAAATATGAGTTTAAACGTTAGACTGGAGTTTAAAACCTGTGGTTTTAATTATATCTAATTATAAAGGCTCCAAAAGCAGGACAAATGAGAAAAACAAAAAATATTAATAATAAATTAAAACAATTTTGCAATAAGTTGTCAGGATTTGGCCTCATAATAACAAACCATGCAGCAATACACACAGACACATACTAGGTACCAATGATTCATTAAAAGAACAAATCAAAATCTGATTAAATTTTATTTTTCAAAGGTGACAGCAGAACTTGCCTAATTTACCCCATTCAAAGTCAAAGCTATTCTCTTCACCAGCAGCACACTGACAGAGATCGGCAAATAAATCCTAGATGCAAATCTAATACTGATTTCGACTGTCCCACAGGCTGGGGGCAATTCCTAAGTAAAATTTTTTCTTTGTTCTCCCATGAGTAAAAAACCAGTTCTTCAGACTTCAGCGTTATATGAGCCTTCCCAATCTGTCCCCACAGGTGTTTAAAAAGAATTGCACTGTACCAGATGATATACCGTCACACAAACATGCTCGTACACACATGTATACCGCGAACGGGAATGGGCTTAGGAACTTATTTTTGGGTTTTAACTTTTCCACTCTGTCAAGATCAGACATATTAAAAAACAGGGGGCAAGGCAGGGAGCACAGAAGGGGACAGCACAGCAAGAATTATCAGCTCTTACACAGAACCAATTCTTGAGCATTCAAATGAAGGAACAAGAGCCTCCAGACAGAGGCACTACGATGATGCTGCCACAGGATAACCTTCATAGGTTTGGATTACATTTTTCTTGAAGGAATCATTCGAGAAACATAACTCATCCAAGTAACTATCCTTCTTTCTCCTGGTTGGCATCTAGTAGGATAGACAGAGGAACAGTGGAGAAATTCAGGCAAAAAAAATCTGAAGTCCATCAGAAATAGGCAACAGCCCAACTGTCAGATAACTGACAACAGCTTCAGGCTCTGAACTTCCATTAGTTCTTTCCTCTCCTTCTCCTTCCAAATTTACCCTTTTTCTAACATCTTCAGGACTGTAAAGCCGGCTTGCTGGCAGGGAAGGAGAGGGACAGTGGTATTTGCAATCCAAAGCTATTTCTTTTAATGAATGCAATGAAAAACTGACCTCAACTGAGAAAACAAAGAGCATTCACCGAGGGTGAAATGTATCCCTGTATAGAGAGCCAGCATACAGACTGCACCACTGAAGCCCTATTCTGATGACCTAAATAGGAATAAATTGGTGCATGGACTTCATCACAGTGAATTTTGTCCCAAAGCCCCATTTTCTCGTAGAGAACGAATAAGCATTTAGCCCTCTCCTATCAAAGCACAAAGGTACAGCACCCCCTTCCCATGCTGGGCACTATCCTGACAACCACTCTTCGGTGTATTTTCCTACCAGCTTTAACCTGAAGTCCTTCCTGCTCCATGCACATTCTTCTGACTGAAAAGGAAAAGGAAGAAATACAACATCTAGCGTTACTCTGTGAGTTAAGCAGCTAAAGCAGCCCCCCTCCGGCACACACTACGATCCATCCATTAAAAGAAATGGAGCCTCAGAAACAGCTCGCTGTGAGGGTGCATTCACTGCCATCTTGAAAAATTTCAATTAAATAGCTGGAGTTAACAGAACACCTGACACACAACACACACAGACAGAGCATCTTAAAGAGCTATTTTAGCTACAGGTTGGAGTGAAACCCAGAGCAAAACCTACAGAAAACCTCATTCAATTCAGAATACAAATCATTGCCGCTGTAGTAGTAGTATCTTTCATTTTACAAACTGAGAAACCTGTGACCTTGAGATGAAATTACTTAGACGGGTATGTACAAGCAAGAGGTAGAAATGGAGGCAGATTCTTAAGCAGGAGGCCTGTGCTCCCATGCACAGTGAGTGTGCTTAGCACTGCGGGGTAGGAGACTGTTGCCCGAAAGGAGTGCCCTAATCCCCTTGAGAAAAGCAAGGGATGTGGCTCAAGAACAGCCAGTGAACTTCTGCTCGAGAGACATCCGAAAGCTGGAATTGCAAGAATGAGGAGTATGGCAGGTCAGGAAAGAGGTACCTTAATAGAGCGTTAACAGGACAGAAAGTGTTAGCTCTCCATAAAGGCTTTAAAACCAAGTATGAGAAGGTAAACATATTTCACTTTGCTTTCGCATGATTCTTGCTTGCCGTAAAATGTATGCAGAGCCTGAAAACTGTGAGAGCAAAGCTACTGACTCTACAACGACCGAAGTTCATTAGCAATATTCCACAACTTGTGCGGCACCTGACTCATGTTTACAGTCTAGTCCCCCACTTTGGTAAGAACCACAGTCATTCCATCTAAAAATTAAAGAGAAGAAAAAGAAGTATCATTTGTTATCAGAAAACATTTCAGAAGATGTCACCCTTCTGCAACCTTGTAGCAATAAGGAAGTTCTGTATCTGTAAGGGTTTGATTTTTCTTGAATACCCGAAGTCACCTGGAGCAGGTGGATGAGAATCACATTTAGTTATGGGGAAGGGGAAGGCTACGAGAGAATATAGCACAACACTTACTGATATCTTTTGAATTTTCTGCATAGAATTTACAACATCAGTCGATTAATCGTTTTGAAAGTACTTGCTCCTATCATTGCTCTCACTTCTGGAACTGCAGATCAGTGATGAAGCAACTGCCACAAGTAACTATTCACAGAAAGTAAAATACTGATGTCCTTACTCAGGAAAAAACTAATTATATTATATTAAGAAAGCCCTCTTCAACAACCAGGGAAAGGAGAGAGAAAAAAAAAAATAAATCAAGCCCATTTCTTCCAAGAAGATCTTAAAGTAAGCTCAGGGGCCAGTCAAAAGACCTCATTCCAACTTCAGAATCCAAATAATGACTTAGGATATGGCCCAGATTACTTTCTGGCATATTAGGTTTGAAAATATAAGCAGGGCCATGGACTAATTGTGTCACAGAAATCAGAGAGGGAGGTCGATGCTGCACAGGCTCCTCATCTAACAAAAAATAAGCAAACTTTGGGATTGGAAGCAATATAGACATGCCAGCACAATGCTCTGTCTAGGCTCATCTGTAATACAAAAGAACAAATCTTATTAACATAGATATAGCATCACGCTATTGCTGCTTTTTTAAGGTGAATGCACTTTAGCTGGTACTAGTTCTCTATAAACAGGTTTATTTTGTGTCACCATTCTCTTGTCCTGAGGGAATAGAATAAAAAAGAACACAAAACGGAAGTAATGCCTGTGCTTAAAGAATCCTCCCAAAAATGATTGTTTTCCTGAATTGGAGCCCTTTGTGCACTTTTAAAAGTACACAGGAGTTTTGGTCATTTCCAGTTGTGTCTTGGAACTCATGGCCATTTGCTGCTGAACGGGGCTTCTTCCTAACCCTAGGACTGTGGTTCAAACGAGGATCACAGGGCTGCAGATGGGAGAAACCTGTTTTTTTGTGATTCAATAGAACAGAAGCAGAAGAGAACCTACGGCATTGTGCTGGGATTGAGGGTTCCTGCCACCGCAGTAATGGACAACAGGAGACCAAAGGTTTCTTTGTCAACATGGTAAATCTCCATCTGTTATTAGTTCACTGCAAAGCTGTGTGCCCACAGAGATTTCATCTTCCTTATAGCATTCATCTTTTGAATTTACTTTCCCAATGAAGACTGTATCCATTACAAATTTTAATTTCCAAACCATAGCTATTTCAGCTAGAAAAGCATTTTAATTAGGAAAAAGGTGTATTTTTGGCTACTTTTCACACCCCCCACACCACCCCCCCAATAGTGTTTGAACTATTTTCGTTCAAGTATGAAAAATACTGCCTTTGGGCAAAGACTAACACTCCTTGAAATGCAGGTTTCAGAAAGTTAGAGACACTCAACTGAATAAATGCTGCGATGCATAATCAGCCTTAATGGTCACTCCGAAAAAGGCACTGGATGCAATTTCACCACAAGGGCCCTCGTACCTGTTAAACGTGTTGGATCCCTTAATAGCACAGTCCACCCCTCTCATTTATTCCTACTGCTAACAGAGTAAGCAACGAGCACTTGAGAAGCCCAGCTGTGAAAGCACATTAGAAGCTGAACTTCTCAACCCACTGAAGAGTTAGTCTCTTTATAACTGCACTTAAGACCTGACCTGGACTCCTAAAGTGCAGTTTAACTGGTAGTTCTGCTATAGCCAGGTGGGACCCAGCATCCTTCT